TTATGGCATTACTAGGATTTATTTTATTTTTGTCTTTGACTGCATTCTGCTTCTTTCAGCTTCAAAAACAATTTTAGCTTTTATACATCAAATCTCAACAAAATAATGGAGCGCTTTGCTTCACTGCCTCTTTGCGTAAAATATAATTTGTCCTTGTTGCCATATTTGCCACCATTTTTCACATCAAGCAGACTGGAAAATAAATTCGTTTGTCTGGCGTCAATTTTCTGATCTCCGAATAAAGGTAAATCTGATGCCCTTTAGCTGTTCCTGAATTAGCGCCGTCTTCTATCACTTTGACCTTCTCCTGCTTTGTAAGCTGGTGGTTTGTTACCGAGACGATAATTTGAATCGTAACTTACAGCTGAAACAAGCCGCCTGCTGCAGCTGAACGTAATCCATAACAGCTGACGCTGAACCTTACATTACACATTAAGGCTGTAAAACCAGAACAATAAAACATCTGCATGTAGATTGATCTTAAAGCCAATCCTGTCAATATTACCTTTAGTAAAATATTGATTCTGGATTAATTGAACTAAAGCCATGACAGAAAGAGGATTGGGGCTTCTGCAAAATCTGTCACTATTCTCCTCAGTGGAAATCTGCAAAAAGCAAACAACATGCGCACAACCGCCTCGCAGACAAGGCCTGACAAATCACCTGTTCCCACAATGCCCTGCCACAATAGCTCTGCCTGAGAACAAATAATGAATAAATAAAGTTCTCTGAGATTGAACGAGGAGAGCAATTTGTGAAGCCTTTGTGTGTGAGTGAGTGTGTGACTGGCTTTTTGCTCAACTAGTGAAACAACCACGAGTTGAACTGAGTTCACGAACAAAGCGGGCATGAGTTTTCTTAAGAACAACCAAGAAAACTGAAGAAAGTGTGTTTACTGTGAGCAAAGAGTGACGAATGGCTGCTTTGTGAGATATTTTGCTATCATATCATAAACACAAAAATAGGCTAAAACATTGGGAGCGGGCAGGATGGGACAGGTCTGGCTTGTCTGCGCTCGTGTGATGCTGCTGGAGGCGACGACGGAGGTGAGATTTGGCTCAGATCAGGTCGGCTGAGTGTCACCTGTGGTTCTTGAAGAGGTCACGCTCAGCAGCTCCTCTCCTCTCCAGGAGCGATGACGTCCCAAAGCTGAGCTGGAAACTAAAGCAGGAGAACAGAGCCGAGAGAACGAGGCTAATGGAGTTAACAGCGTGAGATCAGATTGAATTTCTTGACACGGATGGAGGAACTGCAGCGCGAGGAAAGGTGTTAATTGGTGTTTTAACTTAAGCATAAGCRAGCTACTTAATAGGGCCCCTCTTTTCTTTCTTTTTTATTTTTTCTTCCTTCAGGCTATTTTCTCCCAGCTTTTCCCTAGCAACACTCTTATGTAAGAGTTCAAGCAAAGGGTAAACGGAGAGGTTTGCACCTGGCTGTGTGCTGAAATGTCTATACCAACCAGATAATGGATTTGAAAACGATGCACTTTGTTCCCTTCCCTTTAAAATAATCACTTAAGTTGTGTGAAAGTGTCTAGACTGTCTGCAAGCAGCCTCCCTCGTTTGCTTTATTACGCTGCAGAGAATTTAAGGCCCGTTCTGGACGAAGGCTGCTGGGGAGAACAAGAGGTGTGGGCGGCATGAAAGGAGGGCGGGGAAATTAATGTCCCTAAAAAGAAAAGTGAATCAATATGGTTGCCCGAGGATGTGAAAAGKTGGAATGAGAACAGGAGCCAGGGGCTGGGTGGGAGGGGTGGGGTTGTTGTAATGGAAGATGGAGCAGGATTAATGGCTGCTTAAGGAGGAACAGTGTTCATCAGCCGACAGCTTCGGGAGCAGAACAGCGTCGGTGTGCGTGGAGTTCATGTTTAAATGATTACGCAGCCGCATTATTGATTGATTGAATGCGTTTCTTTGAAGTTTGGACTCTGATGCTCGGCTTTAATTCCTGCTGACGTAAACAAAACACACAGGTTGTGATCCAACAGCACAGCCTACAGGTCTGGGGAAAGTTGGAGCTGCGAATTAGAAAACCTTTGAAAAGGTTCTTTTGCACAAAAATGCAACACGCCAGTGGCTGATTTGTGATCCCCACGGTAACCGCACACCTGTGTCTCTCACTCCCTGACTGCCAAGTTCATAAAAACAGACTGAAAAGCAGGGCTGCACAAACCTTTTCACCACGAGTTCCAAATTTTAAATTTATCCGAGGGCTGCGGGCCAAACGCAACAATTTAATGCATGAAATGCAAATACTTTTTAAGGAAAGTCAGTTTATTTCTTATGATTATAGCAACTTTAGCCAGTGTACATGGAGAACATTTGACATAAGCTAAAGGCAGCAAAGGCTCATGGGACATTTCATAAACTGATGAAATGTGGGTATTTGTGGTCTTAGAAAGTGTACAAATCTATGTGTGTTTAAATCTAATCTAAATGTGTGTTATTGTACTTACTTGTATTATATGATATTCAATCTTAATATAATTCAAAGATAAAGTAAGCACTATAAGGGAAGACTTTCTACACTACAGCCCTTTATACAGTCATTGGACCATTAGATGGAATGACTAAGTGGAAATACAATGTTTCTTCATAGCATAATGGGAGATCACAAACTTGTAACTAAAGATGGGTTTTTACTATGTAAAAACAAGTGTGCATTATCATGTAGCATGGCTTTGCCTGCAGCATGAACTGTGACCAAGTTCAAAAGTGTTTTCCCTACCAGCTTGTGCCTGTTATGTCAGCAGGTGTTTGTAATAAGGGTAATTGTGTGACAATATAACAATCTGAAAATATGGACTTGTACTGAAATAGTTTGTTCATAGCTGGGAGCGAATCCTGATCTCCTGCATGAAAGCCCATAGTGTTCACCATGAGACTATAAGGGCTGTATGAAAGCACACGGGCCACACTTTGGGCACCTCTCTGCTGGAAAGTAAACCTTAAAAAAATCAGTCGCTGTGCAAAAAAAAAAAAAAATGTTGGTTAATAGAAATTCTTGAAATGTGAATGGCGGAACATGTTGATAGACGTGATTTTTAAAAAAATGTTTCTACAGTTTATAGATGAACTAAGAAGACACTTCACTTCCTGTTTTTCACAGAATATTTTGAGCAAAAATATAGCCGATGCCTGTGGATGCTGGGGTCTATTCGCATTCTTGGGAAGGAAATCCTACAGCACTTTGGGACGTATTGGATATAAGAAGACTATCGACCTTCTGATATAATTGACATTTGGACCAAGAAGAGGTGTCGAAGTACAAACCACTTTACAAAAGTCCAACTTTTTGTAACTGATATAAAGGAGGCATATCATGCTTTTAAATCCTTAGTTTTCACATTTGAATTTGGCTGTTTAATTTMATTTTAAATTTTTATTATTTCTATTCTATTACCACTACCACGATTGCTATTGGTGCATAGCAATATGTTGCTTTTTGTGAACTGATGTTGCACCTAAATTTTCCCTCTGCAGGACAATTATTCTATTCTATTCTATTCTAAATCCTTCAGTTGGGGCCTATTTAAAGTGTCACTGTGACATCCTGATGCATCTCAGTAATCCAGGTAAAAAATCAAAAAGAAAAAAAAAATTGTATAGGTCCTCTGGACGGGTTCTTCTCTAATGAAACGTTTCGTCTCTTCTCCAAGAGACTTCTTCAGTCTGAGAGTTTCAGGCAAAATTCAGGCTTTTAAGCACTGCCTCCATGTGACTGATACTCACATTACATGGCTATCGTTCGCAGGACTCAAAAGCCTGAATTTTGCCTGAAACTCTCAGACTGAAGAAGTCTCTTGGAGAAGAGACGAAACGTTTCATTAGAGAAGAACCCGTCCAGAGGACCTATACTATTTATTTTTTCTTTTTGATTTTTTTACCTGGATTAGTGAGATGCATCAGGACA